GACCGTGTGGATTCGGCCGTCTCATTTCTGGCTGCATATGGTGGGAGTTGTTCGCCACTGCGCGATTGTTTCACTGAGCGGTGAGAGTTCTTTTGCAGCGGCGCAGTTGCAAAGCACTTACAATACGCGCCCATAGCGCAAACTATTAGAGAAATATCGCCGTCTGGTGATGGCTAAGAAGATTGTACGGCCTCGTTGTTTTACTGTAAATGTAAAACTATGAGCACTGGGGCAATTTATTTTTCAATTTCCAGAGGTCGTTGTCTGGAGACTTTTTTAAAGGGAGAAAGAAAAAATAATATAAAATATAAAGAATCGGGGTAGGCAGTGCCATATGAACCTTAAAAATAACTTTGAATGATCTTAAATGCACTTTTGATCTTAAAATTTACCTCTTTTCTTCAGTCCACAAAAGTTTCGTTACATTTAATGTGTGTGACTGGAAATACACCGAGTCACCAGATTGTGATGTAGTTGAGATTTACGGAAATGTGAGGTCAATTTCGGACGATATTTCTCTTCAGGTCAACCAACTTTTCAGTTTCTCTAATATGCTATTAAAATGTTTTAGAAACAATTTCTGAGGTGATTTTTAAAGAAGTGAATGAAAGAAAATAATTACACGTTCTACAATAAAAATTTTAATAATTTTTTCTCGACTATTTTCCACGGATTCCAGACACGGTAATTTTCAGAGGTCAACTTTTAGGCTATATTAAAATAGACTTGGTGACCTCTTGTGATCATTCTCAAAAAGCACAAACATTGAAGCCTACCATCAAATCAGGAAACAACACTCACCGCGTAGCCAAACAACTTTCACTGCTTGGTGGAACAACCCTCGTCGAGCAGTGAAACCAAAGCACAAACACATAACACAGACGGACAGCTCCTATTCAAAACAAAAGCAGGGTATCATAGCCGAGACGGCAACCGGCTAAATCCAAGTGTGGGTAAATTCACCCCTCGCCATAGGGAATTTACACAGAGTTGAAGAAATTCCAGCAATGAAATGCTATGGAATCATTTTCTGATTGTGGAAAAATCCTTTTAGTGTTTACTTAATCTGGCCCATAGAGATTTGAAGAGATAGAAGTACAAGAGTTAAAAAGGAGCATCTTTTTAGGGCAGCTGGGATTAGACACAGGACCATCACTGTTTGGACCCAAGTAGAAAGACATGCCAATGACAGGTGGGGTTTGGGATT